TTTTCAATTGGGGAATCTTGGTTTTAGAATTGGTGGGGAGCCTTGAACCAGGTGCTTAATGCTGTAGGAATTTAATTCTTCTGCTGAATTTAAGGATCACAGTTTTAGACAGAAAGGAAGGCCTTTATTTAAACCTCTTTCTACACAGTGCTGAACAATCGCTAACAGCTTGCATTAATAAGAGTTCTGTACATGCCTATTCTGACACATTGAAAACATTGGACAGACAGAGGCTCAGCCACACTGGGGTTTATTTTTGGTTGTGAGACACAGAAGTGGTATCTGATTTTGCTACTTGTGTGCACACATTTAGTACCCAATTACCTGATTACAACAGGTTCTCTATGTGCCCAGCTATTTTCTCTGGGCACATAGAGAAGTTCCCTTTGTTTTGAAGAAGGTTTTACACATCTGATTGTACTTGCACCAAAATCTATGTTAAAATTGTCATGTTGTAATTTTTGATTATTTTTCTGTTTCCTAAAACTGTTTTCAATTGTATCATGTAAAGGTTTCTTTTGACTCAACAAAACATCTCAGTGATGCGTCAATTAAGAAGCGTCAGCTTGAAAGGCAAAAGCTTCAAGAGCTTGAAAAGCAGAGAGAAGAACAAAAACGTAAAGAGAAAGAAGCTGAGGAGAAACAAAAAGAAGAAGAAAGGTATTTGTCGTTTATTGTTCAGTTATAGTTTTAACAATCAGGCCTAACAAAACTGCTCCTTCATACCAGCATCAGAAGATAGAAAACAAGCACAAGTTGCATGTAGCTAAAGTGAAGCACTTAAAGCTGAGTGTGGTTTAGTTTACTATTTATGCATATGTTCAGTTTAAAATATTAAACCGGCAAAATATTCAGAATATTTCCTAAAATTGTTGCCATTAGACACCTAGTTTCAGAGACCCTTGGCCTTTAGCAGAAGCTACCATTTTGTCCTAATCACAGAAATAAAACCTACCACCACTGCACACATTCATTGGCTTAATATTCTTGCTGTGATAATTCTCTGCCCAGCTGCCTCATGTGTTGTTATTGTCTCTGGACAAAGTTCAAAACACAATTCTTTGCTGTAGCAATTTTTTTTTCTTTGAATTCCAATTGTATTTAAAAATAGACAGAATATGACTGTTTGCTATCACAAATAAGGGTTAAAATGTTACGTTTTCTACTTCTGTTCTTCATCAACATGACTTATTTAGAAATAAATTTACTTGAAGTATAAAATGTACTATACATACAATAGGAGTTTGAAATTGTGCTTTGCCTAGATAAGGCAAGAATATTTATCTCTTTAGGAAGCAGAGAGAGCTTGAAGAATATGAGAGAGAGAGAAAAAGAGAAGAAAAGCTGCGCAAGAGAGAACAGAAACAGAAAGATCGTGAAGTTCGACGGAACAAAAAGCAACTTGAAAAGCTTCAAGCTGAAGAACAGAGAAAACTTCAAGAGAAGATAAAGCTAGAAGAAAGGAAGCTCTTGTTAGCTCAGAGAAATCTTCAGTCCATTAGACTAATTGCAGAACTGCTAAGCAGAGCAAAGGTAACTTCATTATTTATTTCACAAGCTAATGAAGAGCCCACCAGAACAAAGCCCTTTGCTGGCTTGAGAGGAGGTGGGAAGCATTGTTCAGTAAACACAAGGTTTACTTCTCTGCAGCTGCTATTCCTTAGACCAGAATCTCAGAAAAGCACAATGAAACAGTGTTTATCTCTTGGTAAGATATGCACTTCTAGGTAAATGGAAAGTGAGCTTGAACCTAGAGTCCTGAATAGCATTTTTTATCTGTAAATTAATTGTCAGGTTTTTTTAAGTCCAGTAGAAGAACATGTGAGCATGATGAAGTGAGCTAACTACAGAGAATAAAATGCAAGACTCCTTTTCTAATTCTGGTTTGGATGCTGTTTCCCATCTGCCTCACAGCAATTCTGTTCACTGTTTTTGCAGTATCAAAGCAACTAAAGTAATGAACTTTCATTAGTCTGTGTTTGAAATGTGCAGAATGTTTCTTCTGTTGGAAAAGAACTGTCAGAAAAGGTTTCAAATGTTAAATCCTGTCTCTCTAACAGTATTGTTATTTTTTTCACTGAAACACTGAAGCTTAAGACTTGGATGAAACCATATTAGGGTGTACTGAATGTGAAATATTTTCTGTAGAAATGAAAATCTGCGTGGAAAAGCATGGCTTTTTTTCTTGATGCCAGTGCACTTCAGGAGTGTTTTTGAACTCACAATGCTATGTACAGATCAGTTACATACTAGAAGAAGGGAGAAATGCCTTTTGCAGGCTTTTTAACTTTGTAGCTATGGAATAGAAAGGTTGTCTGATGAAACAGAGAGTGTGTTTCTTTCATTTAGAGAATTCTGAGGTCTATACTGAGCCACTTGACTAGGTCAAAATAGAAAAAGGTTTGAACCTTTTCAAGTATCGTGACCTTTTCCAGTATTGTGAATTTTTAAGGTGGTTGACAAAATGACAATCAGTTTCTACATAATAATTGTCCATTTAATTACTTGCTGTTTTTGTGGACTTAAAGTCATCTACGGGCCACAGATGACAATAATCTAAAAGAAGTTATTTTCAATAAAATTTAAAACCTTTTTAATTTGACTGAATTTTGAAATTTTAAATTTGACTGAAACCTTCACGTTTTGACCCTCATAAATATATTTCAATTCTGCAGATTTCACATGTTGTTACTTTTGTTATATTGAGGAGACATGAAGACAAAATTTCCTCTCAAGAATTTTGAGCAAATAATGTTTCAACTCACAGCAGTTTTGGATTAATGGGTTTTCTTGTTTGATTGGTTTTGATTTTTTTCCCTTTGAAAAGGAAACACTGTTTTATTTTGGGATGGCTAAGTTCTGTTGATTAGATTTTATTGCCACATTGCTGCCTTTGTGTTATGTTGTAACTTGGAAGCAGGAGCAGGTATTTTTTGTTCACTCTTCCATTTGACTGTTTTTCAGGCAGTAAAGCTTTTGGAGCAAGAGCAGAATGAAGAAAAGATTTGTCTTCAGCAGATAGAGGAGACACGAAGGCTCCAGGAGGCTGAGCTTAAACGTGTGGAAGAGGAAAAAGAGAGAGCACTGGGGTTGCAGAGAAAAGAAAAGGAACTGAGGGAGAAACTACTGAACAATCTTCTGAGCAAGAAAATGGATGCAGTTAATCAAAACAAAGAAGAAACCAAAGCATCTCAGACTGACATGCTGAAAAGCCCTAGCACTGTTCCTCACACTGTGTCATCCAGCTGCATCACTTCTACCTCAGGACAGGCTGTTACAGGCAAACTGGCTCCTGGCTCTCAAATAGAAGTAGCATCCCCTGAAAGTGTAAACACTCAATGCAAGTACTTGAATGGCAACATTCATGACAAAGTTCATGTCAAAGAAGGTCAGAATCTTCCTACTACAGACTCTGAGAGGTGCTCTGACAAAAGAGGTTTGCGGGTACTTTCATGTGTTCCCACCGATAACCAGGACCAGAAGAGCCTCTCTAGCTATGACCAGAGCACTTGCAAGAAGGACTTGCCCTGTGAGCAGGACAAACGTGGAACAGAGCCAAGGAGAAGAAAGAGCCATTCATGTAGCAGCGTAAACAGTGATGAGAGTAAGGGTAGGCGGGAGAGCAGCAGGCACAGAAGGGACGCGAGTTACCGGGACGAAAAGCATAGGAAAGACAGGCGGTATCACAGACACTCCAGCAGAAGTTACAGCCCTCGGCGAAGCCGCAGTCCTCGGCGAAGGAGCACAAGCCGCAGGCGTTCCCGCTACAGAAGAACGCGCAGCAGGGAGCGGAGGCGGGACAGAAGAGAAAGGAGTTGTAGTCGCAGAAGTGTGAGCAGGAGACGAAGGCACCGTAGGTGATCGCTGAATAAGTAGAGGAGTACTTACCTAGAGTGTGTAATGGAGGCCTTGGCTCCTTTGAAAGGCTTTGGTAGGACAAAAGGGCCACAAAATTGGACACCAGACCTCATTGGTGTGACTGCTATAGAAAACACAATTGTTTGAACCAATTCTTAGCTTGCATCTAGTCCCTGAAATCAAGAAAAGAGATGCCTGATTTTTTTTACCTTCCTTCCTTTGTTGTCTCTTTCTAGGTTTCTACCACAATATAGGTATAATCACCTGTGCTTGTGCTCAAGTTCCTAAAGTGCTAAAAGGCAACCTGTTTTCTTCAGTTTCAGTTTTCTAAACCTTCATTTTAATGAATTTCATTTTTATCACCTAATTTGGCTTAAGAAGTACATGGGTGCCAGCTATAGGAACTTCAGAGGTAACAAGCTATTATATACAGATTTGATTTAAAGTGTTTCCTGGTGCATTAAGTGAACTCATGTTTAACAAAGTAAGGTTTTTATTGACTGAGATGGATAGCAGGACTTTGATATTTTTTCTTAAAACTGACTATAAAGTAATGCAGGATACCTTTTAAACTGCTTTGATTCCTTCATATGTCTGTATGATGCCAAGCTTTGTGGCCCAAATTATTCTGGCATGTAATGCCTTTGTTATAATACTTTCCATGTAAGAGAGGCACACCTGGTGTAGGAAGTAACAAGCAGTGCTAAAATGGTTGAAAGTTGTTCTGATATTTTTGTTGACATATTTGGCTTTGTAATTATGTCAGGTGGCATAGGACTACTTGAAACTTTTTTTCAGGTACATAAAGAGCTAAACATTGTCTTGAAAAAGGGGCCTTCTTGCTAAATTATTTTTACTTGTGTGGTTGAAAAGTAAGGCTGCAGTGTCTCTTGTTAAATCAATTTAAGAATACTTTTGCTTTTAAAATGCAGCTCAGGAATATTAAAAGCTATAATGTTAGAGTGAAAGAGTTTATTTTGCATTTTTATGGTAAAATTAAAAAGAAAACTGTTTCCAGTGAACTGAAGTCGCTGTTTTCATGTGTCAGTATATTAAAATCTGCAGAAGTGTTGTGTTAAGAACCTGTGTGTTGAAAGCATCACTCAGCACATCTGAATAATGAAGTTCAGCTTCTCTTCTTGATGGTCCTGTTATGTTCCAGTTATGTCAGCTCTTAATTCAGCAGGATGTGTGCTCTTTATCTACAGCCTTCAGATGCCATTTTCCTCACACTGATGCATGAAATCAAAGTGTATCCATTTCCTGGAGTGTCTGAGAAGCACATTAGCACTGCAGCTCAGCTGGATCCTTGGCTGACTGAGTTTGCTTTACTTCCAGAATCCATATGGGTTTGTTTCTTACTAGGCCATGCTGCTGAAATCTTTGTAGTAACTAGCTGTGGACAGAAAAGGTAAAACATTGACAACACTAAATTGTGAGGAGCTGTTGTGTCTCTCGAAGGCAGAGAGGCATAGATAATTCAGAGGGCTGGCCAATCACCAGCCATACAAAGGGCAAGTGCTAGATTCTGCATCTGGAATGGGGCAGCCCTGGATGTACATACAGACTGGGGAGCACCCCTGCAGAAAGGGACCTGTGGATTGTGATGGATAACAAGTGGAAGGTGGGTTTCGGTGTACCCTGTCAGGCAGGAGGGCAGGCTGTGTCCTGGGGCATATCACTTACTGTGTTAGCATCTGGTCAGGGGAGGGGATTGTTTTTTCTGTGTCATTCCAAAATCTGTTCTTGAAAAGCCAAGAACTCAGCTTCTTGCCCTGTGTCAGGCAGCCATACCTGTCACTTTAGTTTAAAATCAGGCTTTGTTGCTGGGGTAAGCTCAGGTTCACTCCTAACTGTAGGTAAGTTTTTTTCCTTCACTAGTGGGAAAATTTCCCCAGTGAGCATGACTGGTATGGTATAAATAAAGTGTAAATCCTATTAAACCATGGATTGGGCAACCTCATTCTACAGCCCTGTGTTCATGCCTTCTGGAAAGCCTAGGCAGCAGTGAAAGAGACCTGTGAGCCCTATTTCATGTACTGACTCACAAGAAACGCCCAGTGTTTATTCCAGTGTTCTGCTGTCACTCTTGATCATTCTTAACTCACGTAAGACAGGAGGAGAGTTTTCTTGGTTGCGAGAATGCAACACAGTTGTTGCACTCGGCTCAAGGAGAGATTTCACATCTGACACCACAATGTCTCCTTTACGTCCTTGCCAGAAGGATAGGATCAAGTGGGAACCCTCTTTGCTCATGAGGATGCGTAGGGTTTTGAAGTGTACTGATCATCTAGTAATACAAGGGAGCAGTGACCTCTTCCTGTTGGAGATGTGAGCCCTGCTAATCACAGACTGCTTTCAGCAAGGTCTGAGTTGAAGTCTGTGGGCCAAAGCTCTTGAGGTCCCTTTTCTGGGCAGGAGCTGGTGCATGTGCTGCTGCCTCATCATAGCTGCTGGCAGTGGCAACCCGGAGTGGTTTTTCTGCAGCCCTTGTGAAGCAAAGAAGAGCAGGAGTCTCAAAGGGGTGAGAAATCTAAGTTCCTGTTACTACAGACAGTGTTAATGCATAGTCCTGTTTTATCCTTAAGGAATGTCTCCTCTTGTATCTGTCTGAAGGCTGAAGAGCCTCTGCACGTACCAGCCTTTTGACCTGCAATTTTCGTTTTATCTCCTGGCCTCAGCCTGCACTAGGTGGCTTGGAAAGCAGCTTAGTCAAATGACAGCTTTGCTACAACAGCAAGGCCAAAGCCCTTCAATATGATTCTTGTGATATTTTCCATCTGATTACTGCCCACTGTGGTAAAGAAATTTTGATAACGTATGAGTCAAATTGCCAGCAATAATTGATATTAGTAAAAATTATTACCAAAGCTGTAACCATATTCAAATCCTGTTTCTAATTGGCTCTACCTTTGTCAAGTAAACTATTCAGTGTCCTAAAATGAAGACATAGGCATAATTGGGTATGTGTATAAAAATATGTTACCTGGAAGCATCATCTTTAAAGCTGACAGAGAAAAGGCGAATTTTTGCAGTCGCTCCCAAAACTGTGAACACAACATTCTATCAGTGCCACAATGCTATAAAGACAAACTAGTGAGAGTCGATTGGTGATCAGGACTACCTGGATTTTGCACCAATGTTAACTTTAGGGAAGTTCTTGTATAGGATCATATAACAGACTATTGTGGCTGCTCATGTTTGATAGCAGAGCTAGAGATGTTACATTCTATATAAGACAGCAATTAAACCAACTACTTTGGCAAATATCTTAACTTATAAATGTGTGGGCAAAATCGGCCACTGATGTCTTGTATTACTATACAGATCATATTTTTGTTTATTATGTATTGCCTGTGTCTTGATCTTGTATCCTGCTTCTGAGGTTTGATTGTTCTGGACACAACACCCATTTCAGTAAGCTTACATTGCATTCTGTTGATCTGGCGTTTTCCAAATCTAACGAACATATTATTTGCAGAAGGTATCTTTTGCTGCTTCACAATAAATTTGCAGTTGTCTCTAGTGTTTGTATAAAGCAGCAATCCAGTTGCCATTGATTCTTCAGAACTGAGTTGATGCTTTAGAATTGGGTGCACAGAATGAATCAAGTGTCCTATATTAATCTAATACTGGGCTCTTGAGGCTTGTTTGAAGTGATGTGCACCACCATCCGTTCTTCTTAAGTAGCAGCACAGAAAATCAATTTGGTCTGGTACCCCCTCACGTGCTCCTGAATCTCCTGCTGCCTGACAAAGAAAAAAGAATTCATAGGTTAGCTCAGGCTAATCTTTGCCATAGCATGTGTTAAGGGCTAAGGCTGATTGGAATTGCTCTCTAAATGATAACTAATCTAGCTGCATGGTACTATGGCACCTGCCAGGTGAGGTCTACCTGCTCTGCATGGGATGTTCAGGTGTGCTGTCCATGATACTGGATTATTTGTAGGATAATATGAAGGGGTGTCACTCCCAGACACTGCCAGCAAAGTGTCTGAACAAGAATTGATGACCTTCAGATTAGATTTTCCCTGCAATTCTGCATATGATCCTGAACATGTGTTTGTCAGCACTCTGAGGAATTGCCTGGTGGCGTCTGTTACTTTCTACCTTCCCTGTAAAAAGAAAGGGCTGGAAAAATATTTTCTGTTCATTGCACATGTCTTGCTGCTGTGATTTATAGCAGCTGGCAACTTGGCTCCATGCAGCTGTTCACACACCCCTGCTGGGATGGGGTAGAGAATTGTGAGAAAACTCATGGATTGAGATAAACTCAATATAAAGGTAAAGCCAAAGCTGCATGCACAAGCAAGGCAAAATGAGGAATTTATTCACCACCTCCCCTGGGCAGGAAAGCATTCCTGCCATCTCCAACAAAACCAAGCTTCTAAAATGGCCTTTTTAAGGCAGATGTATATCCACAATTTTCCTTTGTGATGCTTGACAGAACATGAGCAATTTCTGAAATCAGAGCCTGCCTCAGCTGCTATCCATCTTGGTTTTCTTTTGCATCTCTCTCTTTCTAAAGTTTCTGCATCTACCACTTGTAGCTCATGTAGCTGGATATCCTCAGGAAGACTATGACTTGTCTGCTGGGACTTTCCTCTGATAGAAATCTCAATGACTATTTAGTTGAATTATTTGTTGAGAGATTATTTGCAGTCCACAAGTTAAAGCAAGAACAGCTCTGGATTGCCTGAGATGCACTTTAAAAGATGTTCTCAGAGTTTATACTGTACATGAATCTAAAGAGAAGGGAGGGTTTGCTTAGAAAATGAGCTGGATATACAGGATTTCTGCCTACTCCAAGTGTTTGCTATTATTATATGTGATGAAAACAGGAAAAAACTAAAATTGGTGTGTGTCAAAAGTGATGGAAATAATAATGTTAATATGAAAATGCATCTATTGTAAAATATGGGGATAATTAGAAGCTACAAGGAAAAGGAGCATTTAAAACTTGATATTCTATTTCAAAGAAAAAGTATGATACTGAGTATCTTGGTTTTTTAGAATTGTTTAAAAAAAGGCCACAAACAATTATCTTAGGGCTTTTCCAGGGCATCTGTTATAAGTTGGGTATACTTAGAGACTTAGTCATAATAGCAAGGCACAGTTGTTTCCCTACTGGCATTATTGAAACTCATCGTAGTCACATCCCTGGGATTTGTAGATTTTGCTTATAAGGAACGTTTTGTGTGAGAAGACAATGTCATCTGCATTTCTCACTGGCAGACACATTCATTTTACTAAATCTCCTTTGTTCATACAGAATTTCTTACTTTCAAATTTTATGCAAAAATGACAATTGTTTTTTGTGTAGCATTTGACTCTAGTAAGTCATTTAGGCAAAGAAAAATGAAATAGAATCACTGAAATAGAACTATGGTGGTAAAATATGGGCTTTAGCCACCATGTGGTCTAAGCCCTATGAGAGAAATTTTGATAGGGTTTTCAGAGAAAGGAAGCCATTTCAATTTCATGTTCATGAATGCATTTCTAGCTTAAAAGGAGCTTAAACTCTAAGCCTCACTAACAATTTACTTGGAAACAGTTTCTGCATGTGGCTTTTTTAAATCTGGTGTGGGTTATCTGCCAGCCTCCTCCCCTACATCTCACTACTAGTAGTAATGTCATTAGATGATTATTACTGGTAACCTCAACAGAGAGATTTAGTCATAATTGAAAAAGAACTTCAAGTGTATTTAATCAACTGTGTGCTCATTTTATTAGTGGAGACTCATGTACCATATAACTTTGCCTTAAGTGAAGTGCATTTATGGCCTGGGGCTGAATAGCTGTTATGTTCCCAGGAGTGGGAAATCCTTAAGCTTGCATGAAATTGCACCAGTTTCTCAGAAGCAGGTAGAATTGGCCTTTAGAAGAGATTTTTTTTTTTTTTTTATACAACTTTCTAATTTTTTTGGCTAACAGTAGTTATCTTTGGCTGGTGATGTGTGACTGTGTACGATTTAGTTAGAAAGTGCAGATTCAGAGAAGGATTATACAGTGGAAATCTGAAGCAGGGAGAAAGCCGCCACTGAAAAAATGCTGGTTTGTAACATTTTGCCTTCAGTGTACTACCTAAATAAGGTTTCATTTAACATTGTTTCCTGAAGGGTCACTAAATGTGTGACATAAAATCTGAGTCTTTTCCTTGATGGAAAGGGTCTTTCCTCACCTGAGTGTTGCAAGGTGGGCAAGATGTCGGACAGAGACAGAGAAATTAAGTGGGACAGCAAGATTTCAGGAAAGTAATCCAGGGGTTTAATTTTCTGATGAAAACCTATGAGGTAACCTGTGTGAAGTTGAAATCCATGCCCCATCTTGCACTTTGCAGTCATTTCATTCTTTCTTCCCAAGGGCCTTCTGCTACCTATGGTTAGTTTTGCAGAGAAGGGAAGGAAAACTGGTAGCCAGCTGGAAAATTTAAAATATATTGTCATCCCTCAGCACCCTGCTCTGTCAAAACATGGCAAAGCACAAGTAGCACACCCCTGCTGAGGTGCTGCAGATATTCCTTTCTAAGCTGGTATCAGGGTGGATGGGAGAACCTGCAAAATACAGAAAAGTAAAAAAGGTAGTTTTAATTCCTTGTAGGCTTTATCTGAGTGATCATCATCAGAGCAAACTAATAACAGTAAGAAAACAGCAACAGAGACTTACAGCTTCTCTTGGGACTTGCAGCTCCTGCACTTAGAGATGAAGTATACCCTACTGCCAGCCCAGGGTCCCCTGGACTGTGCCCACAGCAAATTTCAAATCCCAAGTAAGATTCTGCTTTGATTTATGAATTCTGGTGCATTGAACTGAGTTCAGACTCTTGGTATTCTTCTGTAGTTATTCCTGTTTTCCTTGTTACCAGCTTTCAAGTGCTTCTGAGGTGCCAGTGTGTTGCTGACTGATGAACTGACAATACAAGCTTCAATCCACACTGCTTCTTTAACCTTATACTTGATGATGGAAGAAACAGCTGAACCAAGTACAAAGACCCATCAAAACCAAATAACTCAGCTAAAACGTTTTGTAACCAGTGTTTTTCACAGAAGCAGTTAAGATTATGTGGATCAGCTGGTGTGCTTTGTGTCTGGTGAAAAGAAGCTTATTTAAATTAAGAGAGCCAGGAAATCTGTGTCTCAGTCCAGAAGGAAGATGGGTTCCACGGAAGACCTTGACTATCCTCAAATCATTGTGCAATACAGCAATGGATTTTTAATCTCAAAGGTAAGAGATATAACTCAGAGTATGCAGAAAGACATATTCAGGGATTTCTCTTTAGGTACTGAATGTAAGTCTTTGGAAGAGGTGAAAGCACTGGTATAATGACTGTTTTTCCAAACATATTTTTAAGGCACAAAGCCAAAACTAGTAATTCCACTTTTGTTTGCTGATGTTATTTTCTTAAGCACATGGGCATAAAATTATAATATCCGGTGCAGTAGATGATTTTTTTCCTAATTTACTACTTAACTTTCCTATTGTCCCTTGCTGTACCTCTGGCCAACATGGTAACAGGAGGAATGCTCTTTGCGTTGTGCAAATACTGCTGCACTTTAAGCTCCTGAAAGGCAAAGCTGATAATCAAGAGAGGAGAAATAGATAATGAAAAATCATTTTGTGAGAAAAAGAAGGGCCCAATGCTTTCCAAATTTACACTGTTAGTCGTATGTTTTTGAGAAACAATTTCAACTTTGGTTAAGCCATGCTCTTACTCAGGGTCAAAGGAGCTTCATTGCGCAGGAATCATTGTAGCTCAAATCACGGTAGATACAGGCAGTCAGTCAAACTGATGTCTTTGTTACAGTTTCAGGAGTGTTTATGTGACCAGAGTAATAGGCTGATACTTGTAAGGTTGACTGTGTATATCTAAAGATGGTTGGTTCTTTTTTTTTTTTTTTTATGTATGATTAGCTATGTCTGCCTGAATGTTGATGGATAAGTTACACAACTCTATGGAAGGACTGGACAATTTTGTCTGGTTGAATGAAGCAGTTCTGGATGAGAGGAAGCTCCCTGCTTCTGGAAGATGACTGTAGTCATTCACATAATCTGGAATGACTGTAGTCATTCACATCAGTCCCTGAAAACAAGATCCATAGAATGGGATATTTTCCCTATTGCAAGCTATGTGAGAGTCTCCAGGGTTCACTGAAGCATGTGTTAGATCCTTAGATATAGAACAGAAAGATAGACAACAAGCACTGCCACCCAGCCTTGCCTTTGTTTTTTCCAGGAAATTGTGAGAATGTGTTCCTAAACTAAGGAAGAGGCAGGAACATTTACACACAAAATCTGATCTCTAAATGTGGACTTTTGGAAGCCAAAAAGCATTGAGTAGCTTCACTGGAAAAGGAAAAAAAAATAAGACCAAGGAGTGCATTACATGCATAGTATCTTATATCGGTGCTCAGATAAATTACAATTTAATAATTGTACTTGATTATATGAAATACAAGTTTATCTGAAATAAATATTATTACATTTATATTTTCCCTAATTAAGCAGCTTGTGAAATGCAGTAGGCTTTATGCTTTCACCTAATCCCTCGCTCCCATCTTTCCCTACTCCCAGGTTATGTTCACTGCCTGTGAGTTGGGGGTGTTTGATTTTCTTCAGGAGTCAGGAAAGCCTCTGCCTTCAGATGCCATTGCTGCAGGTCTGAGTGCCAGCACCATGGGGATGAAAAGACTGCTGGATGCCTGTGTGGGATTGAAGCTCTTGGCAGTAGAGATGACGCAAGGAGGAGGTAATAAAGGCAGAGGAATGGGAATAAGTAGAAAGATTTAAACCTCTGATGGCTTTGAAAGTGAGGTAAGATATGTGGGCAAAGGTGATACCAAAAGTTAAGTCAGTTAATGTAGTTGGAAGAAGGAGAGAATCACTCTTAGGATTCCCTCTTCAGCTGAAAGAGAAGAAGCAAATGTCAGCATGATCACAAGTATAAAATGAAACACTGGTGCAGGGCTCTATATCCCTAAATGTCTTTGTATAAGAGCCATGTGACTTTGGAGAAGATATTTAGGAGCTCTGTTGAACTTGTCTCCAGAAATCTCTGGGTTATGGGCAGGATTTTAAACTTAAAACAAAATGCCAGGGTGCATGGTAACAGCATGATTTAAAACAGGTTTTGTTTTTCTTAGCGTTTTTACCATTATGTGAACTATTTTGTTAGGTTTTGGATCAGAACTGAGAGATAATGTAAGTTTTTCCTTGTGTCAGAAACATGGAATCCACTTGGACAGAATGATCTCTGACCATCAGACAGCTGGTCAGGACTAGCTAGACTCTCACAAGTTGTGTCCCCTGCTCTGCCTTGTGTTAGCACACTCTGTTTTAGGGATTACAGTTGTTGCCCGATGAGTTTGGGGAGAGCAGGATCTATCTATCTTTTATATTCCTTTAGTATGCAAGTCCTGTGCATTAGTGATGCCACTGCAGATGCACTGGAGGCAGTGGGGGAGATTTCTGGGAGTCCTTTAGGTGTTCTGTCTGCAAAAGGTCCTGCCCTAGTGAACTGAGGGAGGGTAGGTGTGGCTGGCCTTCTGTTTTGGGGATTTTTCTCCCACCTGCTGACCTTGTTGATCAGAAAAAAGACTTGTCTGCAGACTTCTCACTTAAATAAAGCACACGGAAAGCTTCCTCTGAGAGCAGAAGCCTATGATAGAATGGGTCAACACAGATTTCAGCAGCCCTCACCACTGCTCATTGCAGTGGAAGGATTTGCTTGTAGAAGTAATGTGCCTGTGTCTTTGGCTGTATAGACATCTTCTCGTGATAAACACTAAGCTGTACAACAGACTTGGCAAGGTGATATATCGTGTATATTAGTAAATATATTTATTTTACCCTTTAGCCCTTTACAGAAACACAGAAATTTCCAACATCTACCTTACAAAATCAAGTCCAAAGTCTCAGTATCACATTATGATGTATTATTCCAACACAGTCTACTCGTGCTGGCAGTATCTGACTGATGCTGTGAGGTAAGGAGGAGTGCTGTGTGCTGTCTGGTACTTTGCAGCGTCTGTGTTGCTGCTCTGAGTGGCGTGTTTCTGAGGAAGAGCTCAATAAAGATGCTGGCTGGTTCTTAGAAATTAAAAGCAACAGATAATTCAGCTGTTAACATGGCCGTGTGTGTGCTTTTCCCCTCCCTTGTTTCCCATGTGTGTATGTTCTTGTTTTCCTTTTCCCTGTAATTGTAGAGACGATCTAGAAATCAGATTTCTTTGTGTCACCTTCAGCAAAGCACTTTATCATTACAGTGGATCTTACTGGACATGGCATAAAGAAAGTAAATAATGAGTAGTGGTGGATAAGGGTCCTTCTCTTGCAAAAGTTCATTGGGGCATTTTAGTATGGGTCTGGAGTCTGACTTGTTCCAGTCCATGATGACCAAACATGGTGTAGATCATGGCGATGATTGCATCACTCTTGTACCTTAACCTCAGGTGTGCTTGCATAAATGACAGAATCCTGGAATGGTTTGGGTTGGAAGAGGCTCTAAAGATCATCTAGTTCCAACTTTCCTACTGTGGATGCCCCTCACTAGATCAGATTGCTCAAAGTGCCATCCCACTCTGACCTTGGAAAGAACCAGTCATTCTTGTGAGAGGATGAGAAATATCACAGCACCCTCATAGGCTTTTTCAATTGCTATTTTAGAGAAGGAAGAAACCAATATGAAAAAGCTTTTGGTGTTTCATCTAAAGACCCTTTTGGAGCAATGTACAGGTAATCATTAGAATATTTATAGAAATTTTATTCTTCTTGTTGTGGATAAAACTAATGTTTTTAATTATGACTCAGGACAATTAAGTATGATGATGTGAGAATTCCTCTCATCATGTCATGCAGTGTTTTTACTTCACAACAATATCAATTACTGGGAAACTGTCTGATATTTTGAATATAATTTCCTAATTTGAAAAACATCACAGATCTCTGACAGAGGCAATGGTAGTTGAAGGAAAAAAAATCCCTTGGAAATTCTGAGAATGAGCAGCATGAAACACTGTTGGATTTCACTAGTCTTAATTCTCTATTTAAATGCATTAATTCATAGTTGTACACTCCTGACACAATAATATTCAAAGTAAGTTTATATGCAAAGAGGACATATTCTGTGTCAATAAAACCAGAGATTTTTGTTTAAGCTAAAATATGCAGCAGCACTTATATTATAGGAATCTCTGAGAATGTGGTAAGAAACCCTCTCTCTGTGCTGTCTCTTTTTGCATTGCTAGATCAGATGAAGAAATGCTAAAATTCATGGCTGGCCAGAACTCAGTATGGAGTATATGTGGCAGAGATGTTCTTGCTGCATTTGACCTTTCTCCTTTCACGCAGATCTATGACCTGGGAGGTGAGTGTCAGAAGATCTTCTTTAACAAGCCTCTGAACTGTCTTTTATAAGCTCTGCAGAGGAAAACAACTCCTATGTTATATGATGGGCTAAACAATGGAAAGCAGGACATAGCAATATAAGGAGAATTTTAATGATTTGGTTCAGTTAGAAACAGAAATGTGAGAGTGATGAGAGCATTAGGAAGCTGAATGTTTTTCTCTACAGTCTGATTTATGTGAGCAGTCACTCATCCTCTTGTGGATGTGGCAGCTTTAGCTTTTTTCATGCCTTGCTTGATGCATTCTTCCAGCGCTAGACTCTTTCCTTCTTCCCCTTCAGTCACTGTTGTTGAGGTACTGCCTACAGCCTCTTATCCTGCAGCACCCTGCTGTCCCAGCACAGCTGAATGCTACCAGGATTCATGGGACATGGCAGGCTCCCTCCTGGCCTCCCTTGCTTCTTCCCTAGAGCCTGGTTTAATGACTCTGTTTTTCATTTTTCACCTTCCAGCACCTGCTGCTGGTCTGGCTAGGAGGGACTGTAAGAGTGGTGAGAGCTGGGGCTGACCCCACGTGCCTGGTGCTACAGGCCCTGCACCTTCCTACAGAACACATGGAGACAGTGACTTCTCCTGCCCCTCCTCTTTCCTCCCAGCAAAACATGGGGTGGAAATGCGCATTGCCAGCTTCCATGAGGCGGAATGCACCATTGCCTGTGTACTTTCATGGGTGTCACTGAACAGGTTGGGTTTGTGTCAATACTGACCTTCTTTTACTGTCCCCAAAGGAGGTGGAGGAGCTTTGGCCCAAGAGTGTGTTTCTTTGTATCCAAATTCTACCGTCACAATATATGACCTGCCCAAAGTTGTGCAGGTGGCCAAAGAACAATTTGTTTCCCCTGAGGAGCATCAGATCACTTTCCATGAAGGTAGGTGTGGACAGCGGTGTGGTGTTGTGCTAGCTGTTGCTCCAGAGCCCTGGCTCTGCTCAGAGGTGTCATACTGGAGACTCAGGTCTCTAGCTGCCCCTTATGGGGACAGTGTCTCGGGCTGCAGCCTCCCCAGCCCGGCTCTGCAGCTGTCCCAGCTGTCCACCAGCAGCTGTCCCAGCTGTCCACCAGCAGCTGTCAGAGACACAACTCAGTTATTCAGCAACATTAATTCCTGAGAGAACTATTTCATTTCTTAAGAGCAAGGGTACATTAGCAAAAAAAAAAAAAAAAAAAAGAAGGCATCATGCAATTTTGAAATTTGCCATGCTTTGCTATAAATTTTCTGAACTAGGGTTTTTTCTTCTCTGGTCACAACTGATTGATCTTTAAGTCCTAAGATATTTTAGAACATGAAAGTGGGTGAGCTAGCTCCTATTCCTCTTGACCAGGCCACTGATCCTACATAGTCTTTGTACTATCTATGAGGAAAATTAGTATAGGGAGATCTCATTTTTAATGATTACAAAAGTCTTCAAAGTGCTGGAAGTGCTTAAAATTTCCCAAAGCTGAGAGACAGAAAAGGAGCCTTGAGGAGAGAAGGGACCGTATAAAACCAAAGATGCAACAAAATGGGAGAAGAAATGACAAGGTAAAATGCTAGAAAAAAATCTGAATGCAATACACCAGGTGCTAAACAAAAGGAATAATAAAACTAGTGCTAAGAGGTGAGAGATGTGTATTTTTACCTATGGATTTAGGAAGTAATTGTGTGATTACTGAAGATCTTTGAAAACTTTCTTAGAGAAGGCAATATTCTGTCCTTCTTTCTCGTGACAGAAACCATGTGAACCTATGTCCTTAGTGCAGTATGAATTTGAATTTCTGTCATTGGAGAAAAACCACTTTCCTGTGTATCAGTCTGTTTCAGGATAAGTTATTGCCTTTAAATGTTTCAGGTCTTCTTGAGACTGATCAAGAGCAAAGTTCCCTATGCAGTGCAACAGAGGACTTTCACCTGGTACCTCCATTGCTGTCTGATATGTCTGAAGGACATTGCAAGCCTGGAATTAAACAGAACTGAAAATATTTGCATAACTCAGTTCTCAGTGTTGTGGGGATAAATAATGCATGTATTCTTGCTTTATAGGAGACTTCTTTAATGATTCAATACCTGAAGCTGAACTGTATATTTTATCCAAGATACTGCATGATTGGGATGATGACAAATGCAAACAACTGCTGGCAAAAGTCTACAAAGCTTGCAAACCTGGTAGGTGTGAACTCACGAAGAGCAGAGAGACTTTCACTATTGTTTAGATAGGTGTATACATTATAGCAAAAAATCCCATTAAGCATCACAATGAAGCCTCAGAGTTTCAAAAGCACTGCCTGCAAAGCAAAATCAGTAAGATCCTATAAAGTTCAGCTGGGGAAAATGGGAAATTTCCATCCCAGCCATAGCACCCTCTTCACCTCTGGAATGTCAGTACCAACATAGCTGAGCAAAGACATGCTCTGATGCTTTGGCTCTTTCACTGTCTTCTGTGATGCTGAAATATGACTTTATGTCAGGGTGTGCTTGCTTTTTCTTCTCTCCACCAGGTGGTGGGGTGCTGCTGGTTGAATCCCTTCTGAATGAAGACAAAAGTGGGCCTGTAGAAACCCAACTGTATTCGATGAATATGTTGGTCCAGACAGAAGGGAAAGAGAGAACAGCAGCAGAGTACAGCAAGCTCCTGGAGGCAGCTGGCTTTGGAGTGATTCAAGTAAAAAGAACTGGAAAACTCTATGATGCTGTTTTAGGAAGGAAACAGTAGTATGCGTTTTATGTATGTAACAAAACAGAAAAAGTTGAGAAATGTGCTATTCTCTTCTTAGTGGGCAATGATAAACTTAGCTTTTAGTTAAGGCTGCCAACTTTTTTGTAAGCTGCTACATTGTCAAAAGACTCACTAATAACAGATCTACAAATCTGGAAGCCTGGCTTGGCTTGCCTTTGGATCTGGGAAGGAAAGACCTTCCACAAGAAACAATCCACAAAATAAATGTGTAGTGTTCCTGCTTCAGCTTGTATCAGTCTTTCTGATTTTTAACACTGTATCTGACAAAAGCAGAGTTGAATTTGTATTTGAGCTCCTGCAAAATAAAACTAATCCCTGTACTGAGCTTTGGTGCCTGCATTTTTATTCCTGAAATATTGATATAATAAAATCAGACCAAATTATGTTTCCTTGTGGTCTTTACAGAGTTCCAGAAGAAACCCTGTCTGAGCCTTGGGGAGTTTTGAATGAAAAATATATTAATTTTTTATTTCCTCTAGACTTTGATTTGAATTATGAAAAAGTGTTGTACCTTAGTAACTAGTTGAAGCCCAGGGATTTTTATTACAAGACAGGTAGGAAGATGATACAGCCAAGTAATTCTGTTATGTACTTGGATTGCTCTTACTTCATGCCTCCTGCCATTTCTTTAAATCATTTGATCAAACACAGTCTGCCATTACCTGTGCAGCTCTTAGAAGCAGAATAATACATTACTGAAGTGAGAAACATTTGGAGAAGGCACTAAAAAGTCACTCTGCATTTTTTTCTGGAACAGTAATTGCATTTTCCCATTAAGCTGGATACTAGAGGAGCTTAATATAGTTTACTCAGTACCCATCTACAGCAGCCTCCCACTCATGTGACTGTAGGAGAAGGACCGGGAGAAAGTAGGTTTCCAAGTTACTCATTTTTTGGGTAATGAAAGCTCTTCTCTTTCATGGTGCTGCAGCGGGAGGTTTTCTGTTTGAAGCAGATGGCTCTGCCAATAGAGTTATTTTCCCCTTCCACAGAGTTTTTTGCCATATAGACTGAGATACATTTTCTAGCTCCAGTATGGCTTAGGAGTAATGAATAAAGCTGGCCATAGCTGGAGGGAATCAGCCCAGAGTAGAAGAATGCCTGGGGCAGGAAACAGAGCCTGTGAGCTGAGACTGGCTGTGCTTGGCTGGGCTGAGTGAAGTCAGCTGCTCCCCAGGCTGCTGTGTCTGGGAGGACAGAAACTTCCAGCAGGGCCTTGGCCTGATGGCCTGGGAGTTACAGGAAACAGCAGAGGGCAGGAACAGCCAGGAAATTTTCCATCTTAATGTGCTAACTGGGAGCTGGTGGCTGCTGCTTTTCAGAACCTGATGATCGTTGTGGGTCATTGAAGAAGCACAGCCTTGAGCAGTAGGAAAATGATGCTTCAAATATAACAAAAAAATCAGTAACTAAGCAAGAAAAAAGCAGGAGAGGCGAGAGGCGCAGAGTAAGGAAATCCTGCTTAGAAAGACAACAGCCCTACTGCAGTAGGATCAGGCACAGGCTGGGGCCTGGATGCTGCCTAGAAACATCTTGCCAAAGGAGGTCTCAAATGGAAGGCAGAAGGGTGGGAAATTGTTACACGGGATCTGTGGCTATAGAACCACTGTGAGACAGTAGGACCCAGACTCCAGGTTCCCTGCTGGTTCCAAGGTTCAGCTCTCCCTTCTTCCACTGACCTGCTCTAGGGAACCCTTGAGGCACCAGGGACCTCAGTCCACAGGCTGTCCTGAGCTCTGTGTGCTTCTATAATTGTGTGGGGTTTTCCCCCAAAATTCTTCACAGATGCTTCTAATGCTCTAGCCCTTCCAAAAAGCCTTATTGCAGACTAGCTTAGTGTAGGGCCACACTTTGAATGAAGCAACATTTTGAATGAATGCAACACTTTGAATGAAGCTCTCTCAGGGTTATGGAGAATGCTCTACACTAAAGGCAGGGGTGCTTTCTGGAACTCAGTAAGGAAGGTCTGCAACAAATGGCTTGATAAAACAACTGTTTTAATGAGAAAGAAGAGGCACATAGCAAGTAAATCTTGATGTTTCTTCATATGCCAGGCACCTATGTCCATGCTCCATCCAGCATTGGATGGAGATCTGTTGGGTTTTCCCACAATACATAGTACAGACAATGAAGGAAACGCCTCATTTTGGGTTGTTTGGGTTATAATTTTCTTACAAAAAAGAGGCTGTTCTCACAAGAACTTGCTGTTGCATTGTTGTAGGCAAGGCTGTGCGGGCAGTGGTGCAGAGTGAGAGCTGCCAGAGCCCCCCTGCAGCTGAGGGGTATTTGTGGCACAGCACAGGCCTGGACATGCAGCATGGCAGCTGCCATGGGTGGCACTGACTCCTGGATGTACAAAAAGCTCCTGCTCAGGATCAATGCTTGGTCCACATGCAGCTCACCTTTCCCAATATTTATGTATAACAGATTACCTTAATAACACATGACTTTCTCAGGCCCTAAGAGCAGACATGACCTGTCCAAGACACTGTCTCTCTGAGCACAGTGTCTTCTGAAAGGCTGCCAGTAGGGTAGCCTTTGCAGAACTGGGTGTTCTCACATCATGCAGTTTCTGAAAGGGTGCAGTGTACATGTCCAGGCTTGCTAAAAACAATTTCATGTTACAGGGTGAAACAGATCCCTTAAAATAGGAAAAAAGTCTTTATGTTACATATTAGTGCAATCAGGCTGTCAGGGGCTGAATTAAAGCACATAAAACTTGCTTTTTTTCCAACATAGTATGAGACTTGAGAGTGACTTAAGACTCATGCTGTCAGAAGGATACATATTAAGTCTTTGTTCAGTGCTGTGTCTTGTACCTTTAAAACAGGTAATGTTTTTTTGAAATGGAATACATTCTTGAACCCATAAACCTTCTGTGTGATAAATGAAGCAGTGCCTGTGATACGCCTTGATGATTTCTTCTTTCAGCATTTATAGTACAAAAGGAAGACTGCAGTTCCAGGCTGTGATAGGAATGCTAAGGATGCCATAGCTTGACAAAACTGTTCACCTCTCAATGCTTATTGAAAGCATGCAAAAATTTAAAATAGTGTCTTGTTAATGCAAGCTTCACAGATTCTGGGCTATGTTGTCCAGAATGAGGAGTTGTACATTTTTCTAGACTTTGGAATTTGCTCTAACTTTTGTATGTTTAGGCCTAGTATTTTGGTACCACAGGAGACCCTGTAGTATTAGAAGCTGGGAAACAGATACTGTTTCTGAGCTGTATATATTATGACATTTTGAATGTTAAGGATATTAAGATATGGATAATGTGACGGTACCTGAGTTTTGAGATAGATTGTTAAGGGCTCTTCATTCTCACAGACAAAGGCAAGAGACAAAAGCAGTAATCAACCACATCTAGGTGCAAAAGCTAGCAGATAGGCAATGAGAAGCACAGTGACAAATATTAGAACTCCCTGTCCCCTTAGTGGAGGACCACTGGAGGATGCCCACAAAGCCATGAAGAAGTTCAGCCAAATATTTTTAGCTAATAAGAAGGGCAGAAACAAAATTATCAAAGGGCTTATCAGAATGAAAACATCATGGGAAGTTAAAGTGGGCTTGTGGTAATTACTGTGGGACTTGTGGGAAACTTGGAGTGTTTAGAGAAAGGGCCAAAGGCAGGAAATGAAGGAATCAAGGTGAGTAGGGGAGGAACCAGCCTAGTGAAACAGAGGAAAGGTGAGGGAAAATGTACTGATCATGTTTTGCAAGCTGCTGTTCCCCACACCTGTCTGGCTGAGCTGCATGCTAGATCAATAGAGGTTTTCTTCATATTACACTCTATCCCTTGCTATCTTGTTTCTTTTGTGAAGCCTTCCCACACCAAAAACCAGTTCAGTGGAACATCTATGCTTTTGAACAAGCCTAAAATAAAATTCTGCTTTGGTTTATGAACTCTGGTTCATCATGCTGAGTTCAGGTTCTTGGTATTCTTCTGTAGTTATTCCTGTTTTCCTTATTACCAGCTTTCAAGTGCTTCTGAGGTGTCAGTGTGTTGCTGACTGGTGAATTGATAATACAAGCTTAATCCACACTGCTTCTTTAGCCTTATACTTGGTGATGGAAGAAACAGCTGAATCTGACAGAAGAAGATCAAAGCCAAATAACATGTTTTGTAACCAGTGTGTTTCTCAGAAGCAATAAGATTATGTGGATCAGATGCTGTACTCTGTGTCTGGTGAAAAGAAGCTTATTTAAATTAAGAGAGCCAGGAAATCTGTGTCTCAGTCCATAAAGATGAATTTGACAGAAGACCTTGATTATTCTCAAATCATTATGCAATACATCAATGAATTTTTAGTCCCCAAGGTAAAAAATATAACAGTCTTATATAGATGTCTAAGACTGAAATGCTCAGGGAGATTCTTCTCTGAGAATAATATAGTTCATAATAAAGCACCATAATGTAAACTGACTTTGAACTTGAACAAGCTTGATAGAAGTCTAAAGGGAAAAAAAAAAACAAAACAACAAACTAAGACAGATCTGGTCCTCAGGATGGACTTAACATTTATTGAGACCCCACTCACCTTTGGGGGCTTGGTTGAGTAGTCCTTGTCTCTGCATGAAGGTTTAAAAACATAGTGGTTTATACTTGAGGGCTTGTTGTCTGACTGCCTTAAATGTGGAAGGTTTCTTCTATGGTGGGATTTCTTCCCATGTTTAATTTTTGAAGTTTGATAAACAAAGGGGTGACCTCAATTGCCTTTCCCCCCACTCTGTTATAACATGCAAAAAACAAGATTTTTTTACCTATTTACTTCCCCTTCCAAATTTGTCATGCAGATGGTTAAGTTTGATAACATTTGTATATTATATCCCTTCAGATGGAAGGGACTGTGAATACTGAGTGTTTTATAATGACTCTCTCCCAGACAGCATATCATTAAGGCAGACAGGGAGCAGTTTCAATTTCCTTAATGTTTGCTGATGCTGTTTTCCTGTGTGTATGTACATTTGCATAAAATTCCTCTATTCAATTTCAGTTTGAATTTTCCTCATTAACAATCTATAGTGATTTCAAAATTCACATTCTTGTCATGTTTTTGAGAAGTAATCTCAGACATGTTCTAACTGAAGATAAAAGAGTCTTCCCCCTGATGGATGTTACCAAGTTGTTTGCCAGTGATGCTAAACTAGGTATCTTATGATGTTGAGTTAGGGAGAAGCATTGAATCCCTTGAGGGTAGAGAGGACTTGCAGAGTTATCTTGATGGTTTAGACCACTGCACAATCACCAACCATACGAAATTTTAGAAGGACAAATTCCAGATTCTGCACTTGGGATGGTGTAATCCTGGATGTACTTATAG